TTGCGTGTCATGTGTGCATGCTTTCCATATGTTAGATGACATGCTTGTCATTTGTGAGCACTAGATGATGTTGCTTGCAAGTTGTCTGTTTGAGCTATTTGTAAGTTATTTACTTGATGCAAGTCTATTCAGAAAACAAATGAATATTCACAATTTAGTGTATCTATAAGAGAAAATGACATAAATGGTCCCTAAACTATCACAGTAGGTCTAAAATAGTCCCTTAACTATACACTTAACGGATATGGTCCTTTAACTATCCACCTTTTTGTCAAGTTTGGTCTATATCACTTTTTATAAAAAAAAAATGTTAACGAACACTGTTAACATACATTATAATTAAAAATCAGTTGAAACAAGCCTCATTTTTTCACCAAGTCTACCATATTTGTGCCAAAATGTGACTGACTCATTATCATATCCACATATCTCAGCCATATTCTTGAATTGAGATAACTTTATTTCTGAAACATCAACATGGTCAATGAACTGAACACGACCCCCAAAATAATGTTTTTTAGGCTGGTGCTTCATAAAACCACTGTGGGTTACTTTGATGCTGATTTTTAAGGCATTGTGTATAGAATCTGTAAACAAAAATAAATTTTTTTTAAAATTGATATTTTCTTTTGTACAACAAAACCTCACACAAATAAAGACTTGAACTCAGGGGTGGAGCCACCTTGTCCCCAGGGTGTCCAATTAGACACCCTTCGTCGAAAAATTATACGATATATATACGTAAAGTTTTGACTTATATTGGTATATATGATATTTTGGACATGATGAAATAACAAAGTAACCCGTAATGGAGATGGTTAGAGTTGTCGCTAGCCCACTCACCCTTAAATTTTAATACTTTTTCCTTGTGGAATAAGATTTCCTTATATTTTAATACATTTTCCTTTTGGAATAAGGTTTTAATTGGAAAAAAATCCTTAAATTTTAATACTTTTTCCTTGTGGAATAAGATTTCCTTATATTTTAATACATTTTCCTTTTGGAATAAGGTTTTAATTGGAAAAAAATCCTTAAATTTTAATACTTTTTCCTTGTGGAATAAGATTTCCTTATATTTTAATACATTTTCCTTTTGGAATAAGGTTTTAATTGGAAAAAAATCCTTAAATTTTAATACTTTTTCCTTGTGGAATAAGATTTCCTTATATTTTAATACATTTTCCTTTTGGAATAAGGTTTTAATTGGAAAAAAATCCTTAAATTTTAATACTTTTTCCTTGTGGAATAAGATTTCCTTATATTTTAATACATTTTCCTTGTGGAATAAGATTTTCTTATATTTTAATACCTTTTTTCTTTGTGGAATAAGATTTTCTTAAATTTTAATACATTTCCTTTTGGAATAAGGTTTTCTTTCTCTATACATAGGAGACTCATTTACCCAAATTATATCACAATATTATTAAAAATAGAATCTCTATAAATCATCGTTTTTTTTTAAAAAATTACTATTCAATGTTTGGACCCCCTTTATAAAATTCCTGGCTACGCCACTGCTTGAACTCTAGAAAACTTACCATACGGAGGAGTTGTACCACCTTTTGGTCTTAGAATCATTGTCTTGAGCTTTCAATAATGGTCAAATATGATGAAATGAATCTAGGGTTTTCTTGACTGTAGCTTCTCACAATGAAGAAAAGAGGAGGGAAAAAGGAAATCAAGAGAGAGTACTGAATGACGACGTTTGTTAACGGAGGATATAAAAAGTGGATAGAAATCAAACTTGACAAAAGAGTGGATAGTTAAAGGACCATATCCGTTAAGTGTATAGTTAAGAGACTATTTTAGACCTACAATGATAGTTTAGGGACCATTTATGTCATTTTCTCGTATCTATAACAATACTTTATTTTAAAAATCATGAGAGATTTTTCAAAACAAGTCTTGGTCGTTTCTTTTTTGAATTTTAGACTCTATTTATCATGTGACAATTCTAGATCTATATTGAGGGGAGCCTTAATGTAACTGGTAACTCGATGTCACATGATCTAAAGATCACGAATTCGAAGTGAAAATAGTTTCTTACAAACATATATAGAGTAAAATTGTGTACAATAGACTCTTATGATCCGGTTATTTTTCAAATCCTATACATAAAGAAAGCTTAGTACAAATTATCTTTTTTTTTTAAATCATATATCATTCTTCGCTTTAGCATCCTTTTTTATTGTTTTAAGAAGTCAAAACTTCTTTAATAGAATTAAACTAGTGTTATGGAAGTGGATTTGATTTTATAGTCCATAGAAATTTATTTTTAATTTTATGTCTTATTTACTATAGATTTTCATTTTACACATAATAGATCTTTAATTTTACACACACAAAAAAAATCTAGAAAGATTATTTTCTTCTAAAATAATGATAAACAATTATTTTTCTTATTGTGATACCTTTTCTAATCCTCATGACAGCTGCTAATCATCATTACTTCTATTTTATAGCTTACAATTCTTTATTATATTTAGTTTCTTATACTCATTTAAGTTTAGTTTCTATAATCATTGTCATTATTTTATAGATATGGATTCCATGAACCGGCAACAAAGGGAGACTCATGGTTAATTTAATTTAAGCAGAGATCATTGAAATATTTATATAATAAACAAACAAAGAACGTGTTGAGATACATTGGATAAATGCAAACACAATGCACATGCATTTCTGTTAGATTAGAAATATTAATAATAAATGATTGTAAAAGATTTGCACCTAACCAATTATATTCAATGTTATTAAAACACTACCATCAAAAAATGTGATGCAGTAGAAAGAGTTGCTCCTCCCTTAATTAGGGTGTCTCGGGTTTAATCCCTGAATATGAAAAAATGCTTAGTCGGGAGGCCTTACGCTGTGTGAATTCAAAATAGTCAAAGCTACAAAATAGATACCGATCATCAGATGAAAAATCAATTAAAAAATACTCTATGATTAACAATTAATATTGGACAATAAAGATAAAGAACATATATTTTTTGGATAAATAGTTGGCTTTCCTTGAACTCTAGCTCATAAAAAAATGAGTTGTTAATTATCTTTAAGTTCTGTACTTAATAATTGCGAAAACTAATTGTATATTCATTCATTTACAGAATATTTTTTTTTTTATATGATATACATATAATATATAATTTCTTAATTTAAAAAATTATATATTAAGCTAATGAATGTAATTGTTTTGACAGATCGATCAAAAATCAACTTACCCAACTAATTAATGGGGTAATAATATTGGATTTTAATCCAGTGAACTTAACCACCAAAATTTAAGCAAAACTAATCACATTTGAGTCTGTTCATGAGGAAGTATACATGGGATATAAGTTACTCAGATACGTCGATCAGGAAAAATAAATAATCATTACTATAATTTAACATATCATAACGAGCTAGCTACCCTTTTTTTTTTGGGAATACTAGTCAATGTCCATCACATAGATTGATTCGTAATTACCTAATAAATGAATAGATTCTATAAATATTTTTTAAAACGACAATATAGTTTTTATCGCTCTATATATTCTATTTTTTGATTGTTATAAAGTCGATGAGATTATAAAAAATAATATTCCAATAACAATTTGACTACATGCCAAATGTGAAATATTTTTTGGTAAACAGAAACATCTTTCAAGACAACAAATATTTGTAAAGCAACATTGATAATTACTTCTTACAATTCAAGCAAAGCATTTTATCCCATTATATATGCAATTAATCAGAACTATATATATAGTTTAAAAAAATTCAAGTGGATAGAACACAATTGAAATTGGTCATGTCCATGCCATGAGTTAAAAGTACTTGAATTAAAACTCTAAGTTCACTTCCTATTAAAGTAGTAATTGGGGTTAGGCCAAGTTCAATTTAAAATTTGCCATATGATATTAACATGCCAAACAAAATATAGATCTCCATTATATTCATTCATTGATTAGCTACTCATATATGCTAACATCTACTTTTCATTTCAATATTATTACTCTAGTTCACAAGATTAAATAGCAACTTCATTTTATATGCTTTCTCTTTAAGGGTGTTCACATCTCTTTTTCATTTCAATATTATTATTTGTTTCACAACATTGAATAGTCATTATTATTATTTGCCCACATGTTAAGCATTAAACTAATCAAGAAATTACTATTATTGAGCATAAATCCAAATTTAATCGAACTTTGATATGAATATCAGACACTGAATACTGAATGAGAACAAAAACAAAATACAAATTATATGATCAAATGTAAGTTAGTAATTGTAAATACTCCTATAATTTGTAACTCTACATTTCAGAGAAAATTAACCTACAAATTGTTTGCTTTAACAAATTTCAATGGATTCATATTAAAACCAACTTCTTATTCAAATTACTCTTGGAGCTTTGAATTCATGAAGGACTAACTTTTTTATATTGAAAGCACATTTTTTCTTATTTTGTTCGATTAAATGTGGCGGATCCAAGACTTTCACTAAAAGAGTTCAAAATATGAAAAGTAAACACACAGAAAACTCATTAGGGTTCAACATCTATTATATATACATAAAAAAAGTAATTTTAATCATGTATAAACAATGTAATTTTTCATTGAAGAGGGTTCGAATGAACCCCATTAGCCTTATCTAGCTTCACCCGTTTATTGACATTGGGTTTTTAGATGGCATATTACATATATAGACACCTTAACTTGATATCTACCGACAACTAAGCACTTCGGCTTTGGAAATGCACATCTAGACACCTCAACTCATCTCTACTATGTGTCGAGAACACCCCAAACTGACATGACATAAATTTTAGAGGTGTCTAGATGCTCATTTCGTAAGCTAAAGTGTTCAATTGACACAATGAAGACGAGTTAAGGATGCACACAATAAAGATGTTCATCCTCAAAGTGGAGTACTCAAGTTGCATTTCAATAACAAAAATATAATCTTTGGTTGCAAAGGGCCATTAAAGTAGAAAATAAATGATGACCAAATTAATCTAATGAAGCATCAAGAAGAACCATGACAGTTAACTCCAATTTCAAGAAGTTGCTTCTATACAATAAATCCACAACAATTATCTAAAATCTGTACGAGATTATTTTTTGTGCCTTAGTCTTATTTTTGCTCATATTTCAAGACAAGAACACTTCAACACTAGCAGTTGTCATCAACTGGCAGATAGGACATACACTAACTAATCCTTCACAATCTTTACACAAACACAAGTGTCTACAAGGCATCAATAAGACGGATACCTCCTTTAATTTGCATACCTTGCAGATAATCCCCTTTTTCGTCGACGTACACTTACCAGAACCACTAGGGATATTGCTGAGCCTATTGTTTGGATCAATGTAGGATGCAGCATCATCTAGCTCATTGTCTCCCATCCCTTCTTTTCCTTGTTCAGCAGATTGCATCGCTTGCTGAAGGTTCGTTTTTAATGTGTTGACTAAAGATTCGTTACACTTGGCTCTGTAACACCAATTTTGCGCCTCAGCTGTAACTTGCTTCATCCGTTCAACTAGTTCTCTGTTCTTTCGATTTATGTTCTCTAACTCAATATCCTTCTCTTGCAACTTAGTGCCAACATTCTTCTCGACTGCACTCAGTAACGAAGCCATATGTCTCTGCTTTATGTCTCTAACACCTCTAGCCCAAGTTTCTTCCTGTAAAAGGTAAAAGCAATTAACAACATCAAATTAAATTGGGTTACATAAGATGTTGCAATAATTTGTACATACCTAGGTGAATATAATCCTACTTGATACTCATAGAAATTATATATTTTTTCACAATATCGGACCAATTTAATAAAACACTAACATTTTGTAAATTCATTGTTCTTCCCGCACATGTTGTAACTTCTTTTCAAAGACGCTAGGTATTATTTCTGTTTTTATAGTGAATAAAATATATGTAGGTGTATGTTTGACTAATTTCAAAGGAAAAAAACCACAGGCCTTGTTAATTCCTTAATCATCCACACATTTTATAATGTCTTTCTACAAAGCTGCTGCATATTGTTTCTTTTTATTTAATAAGACCACAGTATCATAGGTGGGCGTCCGACCAATTCTAAAAATAACACCAAATTATGTTAATTTCTTACTGCTTCCAGACCACAGATATGTCTTTATTTATAAGTAATACAAACCAAAGTGTAATCTAGACTCAATGTTTCAGCCTTCAGTAGAATGGTAGCCCAAACTTGGTACTCTCTCCGTTTCAATTTGTTTGTCTTACTTTCCTTTTTTGACAACTCTTTAATTTCAACTTTCCACCTGATGTTTAACACAACAAGATTAAAGGACATTTTGGTACATTCTACATATCTTTACTTTAAGACCTCGAGATTCAAAAGTCTTATTTGCTTTCTTAAAAAATAGTCATTAGTTGATTGGTTGATCTGACACATACTCAACAAGTGCATTTCATGCATGTGGCATGTTGGATCCCGAGTGTTCAAGAGAAACCTCTGCCAAGTAGAAGTGTTTATGATCGATAGAATAGTTTAGGTGTCTTATCTGATAATTGGTGCAAATATTGAGGGGCTAACTATGTATTTGGCCATTAAAATATGATTGTATGAAGGTGAATAGATGTGATAGAATGATGCCTAACAAAGTGAAAATTAAGTTCTATAGAATAGTTAAAAGATCAATACATTTACAGAATGAGTGTTGCAAAGAAGTGGATGACAAGATGGATATGCATCTATACAAGAATAGACAACATTAAACATGACTGCATTAGGCAGAAGTTGCAAGTAGCACACATTGAGGATAAGATGAGAGAAGGTGGATAGTTAAGTCATGTACTATGTCGACTTCCAAATTCACCGGTCCATATGTGTGAAACCATGTTGAGGGTGTTAAGAAGGCCATACAAAACAGAAGGAGAAAAGTGTAAATCTTGTCCTATGCAAAGGATGTGATCGACCTACTCAAAAAGAAAATGCGTGCCCCATGGGGAGTAAACGTGACTGACATATGTGAGCAGATTTGGCATACGGCTTCAACTTTGGAGAAAGTAGATTTTGTATATATTCCTAGACCCTTTACTATTGTTGTGCATTGTTTAGCGAAGTTTTCCGATTCTTTAGTGTAGGGAGTATCTTGGGAGACTATGTCCCTAAGCTGACTTGTAAATGATGATGTGAACCCCGTTGGACATAATGTGTCCTTGTCTGTCTTTATATCAAAAAAGAAGAAGAAAAATAAGAAATAAGAATCAAGCGTAATAAAAAGTGAGTAAACGGTACAAACTTTGGCACTTTCCTAAGAGGGCCATTTATTTTGGAGAACAAATTCATCTAGCTCAAGTCCTTACAGATTGTGGGAAGCAGGTAGACAATATTACCAAGTTCTTGTGTGAGTACAAAACATATGTATCAAAACATATATGCTTTCATTTCGGTTAAGCAAATCAAAGAATCCTCTCTCACCCCCCCATCGCCCACCCTCCAAAAAAAAGAGTTCCAGCAGAAAAGCAATTATATCAGATGTTAGGAAAATGTTGTACCATACCTGAGTCTTAAGATACTGATCAAATTCTTTCTTCTGGCGTTCCATTTCTGTTTTAATGTTGTCACCAAGAGACATTATAACTGATGCTGATGCATTGATACTTCCACTTGCAGAAGAGACAGAAGAGTTGGGTTCATCGTCATCATATGATAGCTTTAAACCAGTAGATACAGGATTTTGGGCAGGAACATTTGCTGGCCGTTCAGTGTCATCATGAACCAAATTATGATTCAAGGAAAATTGAAGCTTTTGCTGCCTGGAAACACCTGCTTCCCTGCCTTGATTATGCCGAATCATGGGCGTAGCATGCTCATTTACAAAATAATTTACAGGATCAGCAGTGGATCCAAGTGGCACTGTAGCAAAAGAAAGAGCACATTGTAAACACTTATATATAGCAAACTACATATCAGTATGAGTTTATTAGTGGTGCAGAAAGACTAGCATGCCTAGAACAAATTCACGGAAACATCAAACTAGAAATTGAGTGATGCCTCTAGAATTTTGTTGCAAGATCCCAGCGACTCTTGATATCCTCAAGCATAAACTTAGGTGTGAAATCTATAATAATGAAGTTTTCCTCTTCTAATCAGAGTTGGTATGCTCCTCAAATATTTTTTTGATAGTACACAAATGTTCCAGTATTTGCTATGACATTTAATACAGGGCAACTTTTAACTCCAATTCATAAACCATATTGTTGAAGTTAGGCTAAAGCTATATTTTTGAGGCTTAGACTTCCCAACAAACTCCAACTCTATTTACACTTCCTCTTCCCCGCATCCTTACCCCACCCTGCTCAAGACATTGAATAGCTGAGATATGCCTGCTACTACCTTTGGACTTTCCTGTAAATCTTGAATTACCGAGCACAACCCAAGGCTTGTTAGTACAAATATAACATTACGGCCCAATAATGGCTGTAAGATAAAACTAAGAGAAATGAGTTCATGAGCACAACCCAAGGCTTAGTACAAATACCAAAAAGGACTTGAGATACACTTCTAAAAGACACCAAAAAAAGGTGTTCATGAGACCTTTTCAAAAAGATTAAAAAGATCCCATGAGAAATGTCAGAATTACAGCATCAGTAGTAGAAAGACAAGTTAAGACTTACCAAATAGTTTAATACAGATGAAGTTACTCAAATTTAAAAAAAACTTGAAATGCTGATAAATATATAAGAGCATTTGAGGTTCCTTTAGCTTATTTGTTTCAAATTTTCCTCATCCTTTTGTACTGATAAGTACATGAAAGACCCCTAATTGTAAGCGAAATCCAGACTACAGGCTTAGCAAGAGGTAGCTAAACTGCAACACTGGAAACAAGAGAAGAATTCTGAAACAAAATTCAATGCCGTTCTATCAAATTTGGTCGGCCACGATTAACTGTACACCTGCAACTTGGTATGCCCATTGAAGGTTCATAATGGTTATAGTGATTCAGAAAGTTCATAGAATCGATAACAATAAACAATGTTCAAAACCCATTTCCGACAATTTTGCAGAGCTTTACAGCTAGAAGCATCTTCGTGAACAAATAAAGATATAGAAGCAAAGTGTTCAATAGATTGAAAAGCGAAAAAAAAAAAAACAGATACTTATACTTGTCATGCTGTTGAGTATGAAATACAAATACTGAACAGCTCACAATCCAATTTACATATGCTAATATAAGAGAAACTCACAGCTTCCGAATAATTGAAGTTGATTTGGTGCACTAGGAGGATACTGGAAACCATTCGCATCCACGAAAATAGGAAGTTCAGTGTGAGTGCCATTGCCTCTATACATTTTCCAAGGAAAAGTCTACTCAGATACTGAGCAAGTTCACCTGCAGATTAAGGACACGATAAACACCTTGTAAACCCAGAATTATTGGATCAAAGGTCAGCAGCAATGATTAAAAGACATGGATATAAGCAATAAAAAGGTCATTTAACACCAATCAAAGTTTAGTAACCACATTTACTCATCATACTCTCTATTTAAACTGAGATGCATGGCTAATTGTAGAAATTAAAGTTGTTTGAGAAATATTATCTTAAAAAATGAAAGGAGTCATCTTAAGCCACCTCATGGCTCGCAATTATATGCTCTGATCATTTTCAACTAACCACAAAGATTGTGACAGATTGACAAGTGCATCCACCACAGTAGTCGTGATGTTTCCTCTTTTTGTTGCTTTGAAAAAACAGCCGTGTGAAACTTTAAAGTTCCACTTCACCCTTTACAAGATTTAGATCCATAAGACTCACTGTATCTTGTTTTAGATGAAAAGATCTCCATTCATCTCCGCCCGGTGATGAAGAACCAAACCCCCTTCTAATCCATCCATTTCTGCCAGAATATCTATGTATTTCATTTTTTATAAAAATGATACACAAAATCTGAAAACAATGTTGCTTTTCAAAACACATAAATCAAACCAATCATTTTTCTGATGGAACCTCGAATGCACGGAAATAACAATACCATAATAAACCTAAGGACTCCAAAACAAACTTGGATGGAAAGCTTGCTACATCCAACCCCCACACCACCCGCCCTTTTCTTTCCACTGTTGGAAGGAAAATACCATCTTTCCTTCGTCTAAGCAAAGCCACTAATTTCAGGACACGATTGGCCGAAACGAGGACCCTTTACTTTCTGGTTCCAAACAAAACTATTCCATTATCTCTACAAATTGAGAAGGTCACTCCTCCACACTTAAAAGTTAATATAACAAAATGCAATGTGGTATACAAATTTCAATCGAAAAGTCACCATAGGAAATTCCCCCAAAGTTCAAGCAAAGATAAGCCTGCAAATTTGTAAAAATAGAGAGACAACAAACCAACTTACATACGCAAAGAGGAAACACTATCTCTAAATCTACAATACTTCCAGAAACTTCGGAAACAAGAAAATGCTTTGATCAAACCATAAATTCTGAGAAATCCATTCTATGAAGCAAACAAGTGGGGATTTTGACTCCTAATTTCAATCAATCTAACATATAAAACTGTCCATAACACAAATTACATACCAAATCTTGATCTTCCTAGAACTATATACTAACACAAGAGCAACAATAAAGCTTTTCATCTGAATCTGAATCTGCAATAACAAATACTAAAAAATAAAGCTTACCCAAAACCAAGAACTTAAAAAGGGGTGTAAAGATAGCTTTTTAACTTGAACTTCTTCAAGAAAATGAAAATGAACCCCTCTTGATCCTGCAAATCCCTATGCAAGTCAAATCAAAACCCCACAAACTTTTTTAAAAAAAATCCAATCTTGGGAATGCTTACCTACAAGAAACTGCAGAAAGATGAAGAATTGAAAAAGAATAGTGACAAAAATGTTGTTGGGGTTGGCGTCGGGGTGG